CCTGCCTGTTCTGGAACTATCTTGCTCTGTAGACCAGGTTGGCCTTGAACTCAGAGATCTGCCTGGCTCTGCCTCCCGATTGCTAGGATTAAAGGCATGTGCCACTGCTGCCTGGCTCAGCTTGCTTTTTTATTTTATTATTATTATTATTATTTTTTAATCCCCCAGCATTTATTTTTTTTACACTCATGATTTTTTTTTTTTTTTTTTTTTTTTTTTTTTTTTTTTGGTTTTTTCGAGACAGGGTTTCTCTGTGTAGCTTTGCGCCTTTCCTGGAACTCTGTAGCCCAGGCTGGCCTTGAACTCACAGATATCCGCCTGCCTCTGCCTCCCAAGTGCTGGGATTAAAGGTGTGCGCCGCCGCCGCCGCCGCCGCCGCCGCCGCCACCACCACCACCCGGCTTACACTCATGATATTAATTACATTTGTGGTATTCATTTAGTAACAATATTTATGATCTTCATTAATTACATTAATTGTATTGATTTATTAGAGTCATGATATATGTCCTGATACTACTGTCCATTTGTGGGCCTTTTCCATCACACAAAACAGAAATTCTGTACTTAGGAACTCATTGCTCCATATTCCTTTCTTCTCCATCTTGAGATAACGTCTAATCTTTCTGTCTCTATGAAGTTATATAGAATATACATTTTATGTAATACAATTCTATAGTACTTGTCCTTTTTTTTTAAATGTAAAAACATTTTGTGTACAGCTGCAGGATAAATAAGACACAGATAGCTTGAACATAAAAACAGATTATAATTTAAAAGTCCAGGGTTACTTGAAACTGGAAAATATTTTCTCTGTAGAAAATAGTGAAAATGCCGGGCGGTGGTGGCGCACGCCTTTAATCCCAGCACTCGGGAGGCAGAGCCAGGTGGATCGCTGTGAGTTCGAGGCCAGCCTGGGCTACCAAGTGAGCTCCAGGAAAGGCGCAAAACTACGCAGAGAAACCCTGTCTCGAAAAACCAAAAAAAAAAAAAAAAAAAAAAAAAGAAAATAGTGAAAATGATAACATTTCCCAATAAGCCCTTTTAAGCCAAATAATAGCAGAATTATACATATAAATATTGATTAGATTCTGGGATACAGAGGAGACCTATCTTCATCATACAGAGAGCTATGTTTTACTTAAGTTGTGTAAGTGAAGGCATCTCAAGGATTCCAAATGCTGTATCGGTCAAGCACTAACCAGCCTGGAGGGCAAGGCCAGAGTCAAGGACCCAGCAGAACGGTCAGGCCAGGAGACATATAAAGAGGAATGTGACAAGCAAGGAGTCAGAGGACTAGAGAGAAACCAGAGCTAGGACGACGCCAGGTCCGAAGGTCACTGTGAGCTCAGGGAATTGGTGACCTGCTGGGACTGAGGAGGGAGAGAAGGACTGAGTAGATTTTGGCCTAGTTCAGCTCTAAGGCCAAGGCGAGGGAAGCCATGACCTTGGTTTGTCACTCTGGCCTGGAAGGCTGGAAGTACAAGCCATCACATGGCTCACAGTGGCCTCCTGCTTTTCCCAGGTCCCTTTGTCTCTTGTCTTTGCATGGTGTCTGTCTACCCGCCTCATTCTTCCACTAAGCTCTGTAGACCTTTTCTGTAATCTGTCCTGATATTCATTTATTTCTTGAGACAGGGTCTCATTGCGTAGCTCTGGCTTTCCTGGAACCCTATGTAGAACAGGCTGGTCTCTAACTCACAGAGATCCACCTGCTTGTGCTTTGGCCCATTAAGTCTTTTTTTGTTTTGTTTTTTTCAGGACTGGGTTTCTCTGTGTAGTTTTGGAGCCTTTCCTGGAGCTCACTTGGTAGCCCAGGCTGGCCTCGAACTCTCAGAGATCCTCCTGGCTCTGCCTCCCTGGGATTAAAGGTGTGCACCACCACCACCTAGCAGCCCAGTGATTCTTTGAGAGACAGAGTCACCAAGTATCAAGAGTGATATGGCTTGACATTTTCTTCTAGCTCAGCCTGGCACGTGCTAGGTCAGTCATCTGCCACTAAGCCACACCATTGGTACAAACACTGCCTGTAACCGCATCACAAAAATAAGTAACTACCCACAGAGACAGAAGTAGACTTGGGGTCACCAGAGGATGGGGGTTCTAGGGAGTGGAACCTGCAACGATTAGAGCCCAGGCCAGGCTCCAGGGGGAAAGGGACAGAGAGAGGAGCTGGAGTGCCTGGCAGAGAGCCCTGGGCATCTGCCAACACCTTTCAAGTAGGAATTGCTAAATCCCTTGGGGGACAGGGAAGAGGCCTGGAGCTGGAGCAGAAGGAAGCAGGTACCGCAGGGACTCGAACCCCGGCCCAGGAGTATGGGCGTGCCACCACCAGTGCCTTTTGCTTTTTCCTGCTCACATCTCACAGAGAAAGGTGAAAAGCAAAACCTGAGCGCGGCCGTGAGCCGCGGTCAGGAAAAGAAACACCTGCGGCGGCTCCATGCCCTCCCAGGCTCGCTCCTGCCTGTCCTGACACCCCGCTATCGGCTCGGGGAACTCAAGTCCCCCTGCCTCCCATACACATGCCCCACCCTGCATGAGAAGAGAAGGAAATCAGACCTGAGAGGTGAGCCACAGGCCAGAGCCTGTTTGCCCTGAGTCAGCGTGAGGGTGACCAGTTTTGCATGAGTAGACATCTCCAGAAAGGTTCTACGTCACCCCAGGGCTGCCTTGGGATGCTACTTTCATTTTATGTTTTCCACAGCTTCCAACTTGATGCCAATAACTCACAATTAAGCAGATCTAAGAACTAAGGGAGCTTTCAAGACCTGGTTTAGTTCAAGTGCAGGGGTCCTCCAAGTTTGCTGGGTCCCAGCCGCCTAAGTCATGCGGACGGTCCACCTGCCTTCCACTCTCTGAGCTTGTGCTCACCAGCAGCAGTCCTTCCAGGAAGGGCACTGCCACGGTTTGGGAATGAAGTCAGGCTGGAGGCAGTGTGCCCACCAGCCTTCTTGTTGTGACCTCTAGCATGCCATCCAGGTTCCAGTGAGGTGTCACTAAGGTGCCAGAGCCACAAGGTGAACAGAGCACCCCTGTAAATCCTGCAGTCCTCTTCATGTCATTTGGAGAGACTCAGGAACCCATGTCCTCAGCAAGGTCCAGGTGAGAAGCTGAGGGCTGAGCGCTGTAACAGGATCCTCTCAACTCATGCCCAGGTATCTGAGCAGGCAGCTCCACTTCATAACTACGCCTACACCACAGCTTCACACGCACACACATGCAGACACACAGTAGGCTCACACACACACACATTCACACACACAATAGGTTCACACTTATACACAAACATAAACCACAGGTTCACACGCACACACATGCAGACACACAGTAGGTTCATACTCACACACAAACCACAGGTTCACAAGCACGCACACACATATGCAAACACACAATAGGCTTAGACACACACACAAACATACACCACAGATTCACATGCATACACACACACACACACACACACTGAGGTGCATGGAGCACCATGCAGGCCGACTCTTGCAGACCCCATCATCTCCATCCCCCCCCTTCTCCCCAGCCCTCTGGCTGGTACCCCTTTTCTCTCCCAGCCTCCCTTCAGCTCCCCACTTGGCAGAGCAGACGTACTCACTGCAGCAGCAGAAGACACTGGTCATCTAAGTCCCAACCTGACTCATAGAGCTTGGGGCTTACGAGCCCATGGAAATGGGGGAGTCAGAGCACACCCTGTAAGATGAGCAAAGCATTAATTCAACATGGTGGTAACAAGACCCTCAGGTGAGACTGCAGGAACCCCAAGAGTTGATCCACATGGGGAACAAGACCGCTGGTTAATAGGTGAGGGTAAAAATGGCTTCCAGGAGCTCCTGAGGTGTCAGCCAACGAGCAGAAGAGAAAGTTTTGAAAAGGGTGAACACAAAACAGTTTTCCCGACAGCCCGGGAGAACCATCCAGAAAGCAGAGCAGGAAGGCCTAAGGAACTGCTGTGCCCTCTGGCCAGTGGGGAAGAAAGGCCAGGGCACAATGGGGTCACCACACCATTAGGAGTGATAAATGCTGGCACCTGGTCGTGTGGCTCAGGTGGCAGCGGCGAGGCTGCTCCCTGGAATGTGCTCAGTCCAAAGGCACACATCTCAAATAACCACCAACCACACAGGGCAAAGTTCACTGCGGTCAAGGCTGTGCGTGTGGGTGTGTAGATGAGGGTCTGTAGCTGATGGGTGGGCACCTCAGCAGCTAATGCAGCACTGATAGAGTGCAGTTCAGACCTTTTATTTCACAGGAATACAACCATGGATTTGTCCCCAGAACACAGGGAGGGTTTATCCACTGTGACAAAGAATACCTCTGGCCAGCCATGGAGCATTTATAACCTTTAGTGGCTGGGGATGATGGCATATGTCTGTGCTGCAAGCCCAGCACAGCACTTGAAAGGCCAGGGTCTCAAGTTCAAAGCTGGCCTGGGCTACAAAAAAAAAAAAACAACAAACCGAGGGGCTGGAAAGATGGTTCAGCGGTTAAGAGAACTGGCTGCTCTTCCAGAGGTCCTGAGTTCAATTCCCAGCAACCACATGGTGGCTCACAACCATCCGTAATGAGATCTGTTGTCCCTTCTGGTTTACAGGCATACATACAGACAGAACACTTTATACATTAGAAATAAATAAATCTTTCAAAAAAAAAAAAAACCCATAACAAACAATACCAAGAAAAATAGAGAGCCAGGTGTAGTGGCCCCCACTTTTGATCCCAGTGCCTGGGAGGCAGAGGTAGGCAGACAGATCTCTGAGTTCGAGGCCAGTTTTGAGATCCTGTCTCAAAACAAACAAACAACAACAAAAACACTAAACTCAAATAGAAAGGGAGCCACGTGTTCTACAATGCAGAAACTGCGTTCCTTCTTCCTCAGGCCTCTACACTTTACATCACACATGGACTTCAGGAACTGAGAAATAAAAACCGCCAAGCACCTGGAAGCTGGAGGGCTAAGTTTAAATCACACAGCAAAATTAAAACCACAAACAGAGCAGAGATAGCAAATCTATTTCTTAATATAGAGGAGAAATCCTTAGGAGCCTGGGGTCCCAGCCATCCTGCCCACCTGTCGTCACCCTCATGGCTGAGGCTGTGGCAGGCACTCCTAAGCCCGAGGAGGCCTCTGTTCTCACTCCTGGCTGTCCTACATTCCTTTGTACCTAGAGGGCAACTGTCACCTTTACTCCGTCATTTCACTCCTGGCTTGTGCCATCACCATCTGAGGCCTGGTCCTGTGACAATCAGGGCAGGGTCAGTCACCTTGCTTGTGTCCACAGGTCTGCTCACTGTCTGGAAAGAGGCTCGCTGAGGAAGGCACCGATGAAATTTGAAGCGTGGCCAACAGTGCACTGTTTTTCTTTGCTGGAAGCCACAAGCACCTGCTCCCTGGTGGTTTCAAGTGGCCTCCTCAGAGATGCTCCAGCATCAGCAGCTGAGGAAGGGCCTTAGCAAAGGCCAGAGCCAGAGCAAGACTCCACTACTGCTACCTCCCCTTTCTGATGATAGAAGTGTGTGACCTGGATGGGCATCAATAGGTTAAGCGTAGAATACAAAATCCAAGGAGACAAGAGAAGAATCAATGCAACCCCAGTGAACTAACTCTCCGAGTTAGCAGAGGTCTGGGGACAGAGCTGAGCAGCGGCCTTGTGTGGGCAAGGCCTTGGGTTTCATCCCCAGCACCAAAAACAAAACAAAAACCAGACAGAGCTGCTTGTTTCCTCTAAAGCTTCTTGGAAAAAGCCAAACTGGATGTCTTCAAAGTCTATTCAAGAGAAAGAAAAATCAGGAATTAAACCAGGAGAAAGGCCACTCTTAAGGAGGGTGTCAAATTAAATATTTATAAAAAACAGAAGCAAACCGCTACACCAGCATGCATGAAATGGCAATTTTCTTGAAAAAAAAAATGTTTTAAAGATGACTTACAATGAGCTAGAAATACTGAGTAGTCCAATAACTCTAGGACAATGACTTCCAGAGAACCTCAGCCTCCCGAGAGGAGGGCCAGGTACCTTGGTGTCACAGGACACCGTGTGCTGCGCCTCTGTGGGTGCAGAGAAGGCGGCTGAGTCCCACAGGTGTTATTCCTCCCCTGGCCCCAGCACTGTGCTCCTCACCGCACACTGTAGGCGCCCCCACTTCATTGTTGAGAAGAGGCCTCCGAGAATTTAAGAAATGTAGACAGGGAGTGGTGATGGAGGAGAAGTAGCTTAGCTGCTAAGAGCATCAACTGCTCAGCCAGAGGACCCAGGTTCAAATCCCAGCACCCACAGGGCAGCTCACTTCCATTTGTAACTCCAGGCTCAGGAGAGCTGATGCCCTCTCTGGCCTCCATGGCCATGGCATGCATGTGGTGCACAGACACACATACAAACACCTATGTACATACATACAGACCAAAAAATAAATAAATGAAATGTAGATGGGCCAGTGGCACCCTGTAGTCCCAGCTACTTGGAGACGAAAGTAAGAAGATCGCTTGAGACCAGTTGGGTAACAGTGAGATTTTTGTCCCTTAGAAACCAAACAAAACTGAAACACTAACAACCTGAGAAACACCTATGGGCTGTGCCAAAGCAGACTTCCCAATCATCTCTAATAACATCCAAAGCCCAACCTTCCCTGGCAGTCTCCTCAAGTCCACGTAGCCTTCAATGTCAGCAAAATAAAACTCCAGGTTTGGTGGGACACAGTGGCACATACCTTTAGCTCTGGCACTGAGGGAGCAGAGAAGGCCAGCTAGGGCTGACTAGTGGGACCCTGTCTCAAACAAACAAAACCATAGGCCTGGGAATGGCCTAGGTTTAGCAATCATAGATGAGCTATTGTTAATACTAACGAAACCATTAATGTGATGATGCACAGACTGGCTGGTACACACACCCCACATCCCCATGCAGCTGTGCCTCTAAGGAGACAACCCTGTACTTACAGCCTTATGCCAACTCAACAGCTGCTCAGAAGACAACGCATTTGAAGTATTGGACATTAACTCAGCATCTTGTCTACAGGGTCAAGGTGCATGTTTGACTATGAAAAGATGCAAAGTTGCTCTTTTTGGAATAGTGGTTAAGCTCAGGAAGCTGCCATTTGCAGAAAGACAGATCCATCCTACAGCTGCAGCGGTCTGGTGCTCCAGCATCTCACAACCACCCCGAGGCACTCTCACCTACCTCCTGGAGTGAGCACAGGGTACCCTGATGATGGTCCAGCTCAGTCTTAAGGGCCCTGCAGGCTACGGAAATCCTCCAGCATTCAGAGGATTAGAATAACACTTTTTCAGGGACCCAGGGTCTCATGTGGAGCCCAGATGACGGGAGAAGGGATGTCTGAAGAGAGAATGGGAGGCGTGTAAACAAGCCAAGTCTCCCATCAAGGCAGGACTTGATCCTTCTACAACCCAGCAGCTCCTAACAGCATACAATTATCTCCATTTTCCTAATAAAGCTGTTCTTAACTTTCAAAAAATCAAAGTACATGACTGAATAAATAAATCCACCATCATGGTTTTTAGAAATGAAGATTTTTGATCAATCAAGTAAACAAGTGGATGTCTTCCCAGGACCACCATGGCACATGGCACAGGAGGCTGCAGCTGGTTCACCTTACGGGGACCCGTCAGTCACACAGGTGCTACCTTTCCTCCGCCTAAGATCTGTGGTCTCTGGGACACGGCAGCATGAACTCTGAGCAAGCCACGTGTTTGCTTCCTCTCCAATCCGGTTACTTTTTAATTCTTGCAGTAGCGTGACTTGTAGAACATAGATTTGGGCCAGCAATGGGGCTCAGTGGGTAAACACACTTCCTATCAAAACTTGGCCACCTGAGTTTGGTCCCTGGACTCTTGTGGTTGAGGACAAAAACTGGTCTCCACACATCTATACACACAATACATACATTAATTATGTTAAAAGACACTATCTGGGGATATGGTCCATTAGCAGAAAGATTGCCTGGCACACAAGAGGCCTTGGGTTCAGCCAGGTGGTGGCGGCGGCTGTGGCGGCTCACACTTTTAAATGGGTTTAATGTCCAGTAAAACACGCGCGTGTGCGCGTATACACACACACACACACACACACCCCTACTTGAAAAACAAAGGCCTAGCACCACAGGCAGGCCTCAAGGCAGACATGCTCCTGGCTGACAGAGCATTGAAGTTGCTTGCCGTGGTCACCTCTGCTGCCTCTTCACATCCACCAGGACGGCCAGCTGGTCAGACAGTAACCAGGGCTCCTGAGAATACGGAGAGCTGGGACCCTTGGACATTAGTAATGGCATGGCAACTGGAACAGCACTGGACACAGTTGGCAGCTCCTCAGAACAAGTACGTACCAGCGACTGCATCATCTGGAAGTATCTCCTATGTACACAAACCATGGAAACACTCACACAAAGACTTGAACACAAATGTTCATAACACCATTGTTTACAACAGGCAATAAGCAGAAACACTCCAAACCTCCAACGGAATGGATTAACAAAACGTGGTAGGTCAATAGAGTGGAATATTATTCAGCCACAATGAGGAATAAAATTTTATCATGCACATCATCTGCAACACCTTGAAGAACTTATGCCATGTGAGGGAAGGCAGACACGAGGAGATACATGTTGCATTACGCTTCCATGAGGTACCAAGAACAGGCAGATTCACGGGGTGGGAAGCACAAAGACTATGGAGACCAGGGAGGAATGGATAGGCGGCTGTGAGGGCGGAGTCTTCATCTGTGCTAAACCAAGTCAACAGCTGCGCAAAATCGAATCTACCCAACACAGAACCACTACCTCACAGTGCCAGACTTTGAGTTATATGAGTATAACTCAATTTTCAAAAAAATTTATGTTTTAAAAGAAAGCTTCACCAGGTGGTAGTGGTGGTACACAACTTTAATCCCAGCACTTGGGAGGCAGAGGCAGGCTGATCTCCATGAGTTCAAGACCAGCCTGGTCTACAGAGTGAGTTCCTGGACAGCCAGGCTGTTATAGAGAAACCTTATCTCAGAAAAAAAAAAAAGCTTTATAATTTTTTCACCAAAAATAAAAAAGGAATTTTGAAATACATACATAAATATTTAAGCTGTAAAACCCTGTAAGTAAAACAAGCTATTCATCCTGTGGACCAAACAGAACAAGGGCCTCTCAAAGCACCATGAAGTGGGCACTGATATGCAGCTCCCAGGGCCAGTGTGGATCCCACTGGTGAGCTGGGTGGGAGGTAACTGTGATATTCACTGCTTCTTAGTTATTATATATAGTGATTTGAACAAAACAGGAGGAGAAAGATGCATGGAAGATGGCCAGGTCCCATGGCTGACATAACCAAAGACTGGAAAACCCACAAGGACAGGTTTATCCCGTGTCAAGAGTGCTGAGCACAGTATGTTACTTCACCAGCCCTAACTCACATCTGAGGTAATGATCATAACCTCACAGATGGAGAAGCTCTGGCCGGAGAGGGTCATGAAGCCTTAGTCCTTAGGTTATTTCGATAGATAAGATTTATAGATTTATAGTCGCCTATGCCTGTCATCTCTATAGTTACGTTAGTTAGGTTATCCAGATTTACAGATACATAGGTCAGATGGGTAGGTAATCTTCAAACACTTCATAGACCTGGAGAATATGGCATTTAAATAACTTAGAATTCTGTTGA